CATCCCCAGGCGTAGCACCCCCACACTCAGCACCCCCAGGCTCAGCACCCCCAGGCGTAGCACCCCCAGACTCAGCACCCCCAGGCTCAGCACCCCCAGGCTCAGCACCCTCAGCAGCACCAGAGTCACCAGTGACCTCGACAGGCTCAACTGCGTCTACCTGGGACACACCTGAAGGGGCAGGACCCTGAGGGGGGAGGGGGTCTACTGGGGGGGGACCTGAACAAGGAGAGCGGGGGCGGGGGGAGGGACGGAGTGCGGTAGGGGAAGAGGCGGTAGTAGGGGACCGACTCGTCGAACGCGACGTCCTGGGAGGACAGAACACGGCGAGAGGTGGGGTGTAGAACTGCCACCCAGGCGCGTCGGGGGGGAACCCCAGAAAGACGCAAGGAGCAGCACGAGGGACAGCTTGTCCGCAGACAAGTCGCGGACAAACGCTCGAGATCCCCAGACCCGGAACGCCGACGCATCGCCAACCTTCCCCGTCCACAGCAAGGCTGGGGAGGTCTCCGGCCTGGAGACTCTGGGGTGAAGGTTGATCTGATGCGCCGCGTACCTCACCGCAAAACGGCCACAGAAAATGGGGGGCAGCCGCATGCATCATAGACGTACGAGCGACGTCCATGACCATGCCAATGCGGCGCTCAGCAATCCCATTTTGCTGCGGAGAGTCCGGAAGCGTGAAGGTCTGACGGATGCCTCGTGCACGGCAGTAGGCTCGCAGAAGGCCAGAGGAGAAACTCCCCGCCTCTGTCCGAGTGCAGACGCAGAACAGAAAGTCGGAGCCAAAGCTCTGCCTGAGCTGGAGACGAGCTGCGCGGATCCAGTCGATCAGCACCTCAGTGACATCACCCTTGCTGCGCAAGGGGAAGACTGCGGTGTAACGCGAGTAGTCGTCAACAACTAGTAGGAAGTAGCGCTCGTGACCCTGCCCACGGACACGGGCTGGGCCCCACACGTCCATGTGAAGCGTCTGCAACGGGGCCTCTGTCGGAGGAAACTGGGAGGAGTGAGGGGCAGCACGCTGGCGCCCCTCGACACAGGGGACACAGGTAGGGCCAGGGCCCTGAGGAAGGGGAGGGAGGGACCGGGGAGACCAGACACTAGAAGGCGGGAGGCCATGCCTCTGAGCCGAAGCAGAGAGGGGTGACCAAGACGTGGTGCCAGAGGAGAGTCTCGTGAGACAGGAGACGACACGAACAGGGGGCAGACTCAGGACCAGACCTGGACGCTCCAGCAAACACCCGACCCGACGAAGCGACTCTACCAGACTCAGTAACGGGAGGAGACGCAGTGGTCAGTGTGTACAGGCTCGACCCCGGCTGACGGGTAAACGTAGCCAGGTGTCGGCCTGTGCTAGCCTCTGTACAGTGGGTCACCCGCTGGCGTGCAGGAGTGAACTGGTGTACACCCGCATCCTGTAGGTCAGCACCACTCACCAGGTTCGTAGAGAACGAGGGGAGGTAGAGACCAGACAGGGTGCCAGAGGGAGCCGCCGGACACGGGAGGACTGTGGAGAAGCGAGACAGGACAGGACCCCCAGAGGGGTCAGCCAGAGACACTGCAACCGGTCGACTCAGCGGTGTGAGTGTGGTGCGGTCCCGAAAGAAGGAGCGAGACGCCCCAGAGTCAAGGGTGAAGGTGAGGAGGCCGAAGCCGACGTAGTACCTGAGAGCGCAGACTCACCAGTACCTGAGGACGCAGACACACGAGCACCTAGAGCAGCAGCGTCGCAAGCACCTAGGGCAGCAGCCTCACCAGGACCTAGAGCAGCAGTCTCAATGCCCGGATCGGCGGCGGGAACACCGGTAACAGTCACCCTCATCACTAATAGACACAGCATACATGGCAGAGAGAATAGCATCAAAGTCAAGATCATAGATGGCAACACCCGCCCTAGACAGCTAACCCCAGCGGGGATCTCGGAGGCCTCCGGAAACTGGTGACGCCACGCGTCCGTCAGGCGGCCAAAGCAGCGCTGGGTGGGGTGGGCACCCCCACCTGCTCACCCTCACCGCACGGTCGCCAGTGCGCAAAACGTAGGAGCACGGACCAAAACCCCCACCCCGCTGACGCGCAGTGTACCACTCACGAAGCTGCTGAGGGGACAGGGTGTCACGACCACGCTGCTGCTGCTGGCGGCGAGCCACCACCGGAGCCACTCCTCTGCGAAGACCCGCGACCAGCACCACCGCCACCCCCGCCGCCTCCGACGCCTCCGCCGCCTCCGCTACTGCCGCCGCCTCCGCCTCCGCCGCCGCCTCCACCTCCGCCACCTCCGCCACCTCCGCTCCACCGCCACCGCCGCCGCCACCTCCACCTCCACTGCCGCCACCGACCCCTCCACCCCCACCTCCACTCCCACCGCCACCCCCACTCCCCCCTGCCCCCCCCCGCCACCTCACCTCCACCCCCCCGCTCGCTCCTCCAGCGCCCTTGCCCCCCTTGCCCTTGCCAGAGCGGCGTCTCCCGCTAGGGGCAGACGCCGCACCGACGGACTCAAGACCAAGGAGGTCGGCCGCAGCAGCAGAGGCAACAGAGGGCAGAAGGGGGGAGGGGAACACCCCTCAAAGATGGGGGTGCGCGGGTCACCACGAGAGGCCCCTACAGCGACTATGCTCTTCTCGGCCGCTAGGAGGGACTTCTCGAGGAGGTCAACAGTGAGAGTGGTGGGACAGACAGAGAGAAAGTGGTCCCTGACTACGCGAAGGGAGTCAGGAAGGCGAGTGACTATGTAGTAAAGAGTGATGTACATGGGGGGGGGGTTCTTGGCGCAGAAGTCAGGAGGGAGTGCAGCGCGGTAGCGAGTGTCACTAGTGCGGAGGTGCGTAATGAGGTCAGCGACTGTGGGAAAGGCAGCAAGGTCAGGAAAGAGGTACGGTAGCATGAGACGGCTCAGTGCAGCACTGGCAGGGGAGGAGTAGCGCGCAACTACAGCGTCGTACAAGGTCTGAGCACTCTTGTACTGACTAAAGTGCGCACGCTCGGAGGTAGGGAGGTGGCGACGCACAGCAAGACGTGCAGCAGCGTCGCGCGTGGCCCACTGGGAGCGAACAGTGGCGTCAGCATCAGCAGCAGGGGCAGTGGAGGCGCCAGAGGTGAGGTCAAAGAGAGAGAGGCCGTCTGCCCTATCGCACTGTAAGAACAGCTGCAGGTCATCTACCCAGACCTCAAAGGCAATGGCCCGACCCTCAGCGTCAAAGGCGAGAACACTAGGGGTAGCCATGACCCTAGACGACTAGCAGCGCAAACAGTAGGGTGAGGACAGTGCAGTGAAAAGGCGCTGTGCTCACCAGACTGGGCAGGTCGGGCGGCCCGGAAGGAGGGCGGCGCGGCGGCTCGGCGGCTCAGCTGCTGGGCGGCTCGGCGGCTCGGCGGCTCCGCTGCTGGGCGGCTCGGCTGCTGGGCGGCTCGGCTGCTGGGCGGCGCGGCTGCTGGGCGGCTCGGCTGCTGGGCGGCTCGGCTGCTGGGCGGCGCGTCTGCTGGGCGGCTCGGCTGCTGGGCGGCTCGGCTGCTGGGCGGCTCGGCTGCTGGGCGGCTCGGCGGCTCGGCGGCTCGGCTGTTCGGCTGCTGGGCTGCTGGGCGCTCGGTTGTCCGGCTGCTCGGTCGCTGGGCGGCTCGGCTGTGCTGCTGCAGGGCGGCGCGGCTGGGCAGCAGGTGACGGGGCCGCAGGTAAGGGCGGCGGGGCCGCTGGTAAGGGCGGCGTGGCCGCGGGTAGGGTGGCGGGGCCGCAGATAGGGTGGCGGGGCCGCAGGTAAGGCGGGGGGGGGGCCGCGGGTAGGGTGGCAGGGCCGCGGGTAGGGTGGCGGGCCGCAGGTAAGGTGGCGGGGCCGCAGCAGAGGGCGGCGGGGCCGTAGGTAAGTGGCGGGGCGGGGCGCGGGTAGGGTGGCGGGCCGCAGTAAGTGGCGGGGCCGCAGGTAGGGTGGCGGGGCCGCAGCAGAGGGCGCGGGGCCGCAGGTAAGGGCGGCGTGCCCGCTGGAAGGTGGCAGGGCCGCAGGTGAGGGCGGCACGAGGGGCCGCGGAGGTCGGCAGCGTGCCGTAAGGACGGCACGCGACGCCGCGAAGGGCGGCGACGAGCCGTTACGGGCGGCGCAAGGGCGGCGACGGGCCGCTTAGGGTGGCGACGGGCCGCAAAGGGCGGCGACGGGCCGAGTAAGGGGGCGGCGCAAGGGAGGCCGCGAGGGGGCGACGCGACAGTAGAGAGGGCACACGAGGCGCGACTCGGGCCTAAACTAAGCGCGCTCCGGGCAGGAAAAAAAAATTTTTCGACTTGGTGGGCCCTAGGGAACAGTTCCCACGAGGGAACCTGCTCGATACCATGAGAAGAAACGAGGATGAATGGACTATGAATGAAGTGGGTACAAGTACTAACCCTAATTGGGTTGTACCCCCTATGGGATACCCCACTACAGCCTACACAAAAGTGTAAGCTATGATGTTCTGACAGTTCCTATTGCTAGGGAATAAGACCAAAGAGGGAACCGGGCACGTCAACGTTTTCGTAATACAATAAAATGTTCAAAACTCTAATATTGTTACCAAAGTCAACCAAAGTCTATTACAGAATTTAATATTGTTACAAACAGGGAGTTACAGGACTGACTGTATAACATTAGTTTCGCCCTAAATAATCAGCTTAGCCAGAATTAGATTAATGAATCCATCAACCACATAAAATATTATAAACATATCAAAAAATCAATAATTAAATCAGCAATTACACAACAAGCTAGACACTAGCATTGGAAATATATTTGTTTTACGAATATATCAATATCCACCAAATTATAGTATCAAGCGCGTTGACAAGATTATATAACATTACCAATTCAAATTTAATAGCACTGTTTGTTACAACTTCAGGAAATGTGAAAAGCGCGATGAACAGTTTGCTGCCACGAAACAGTTTAGCTGAGCCTGCGGAGTTGACATCAAGTGCCCAGAAACACGCGCACCACTTCAAAAACCACGCAAACACCCGAACATCACTCCCATGCCACATGCGAGCATTATTCTCGCATGATTCCCACCCCTACAAAACGAGGAAGTCACAAACAAGACTCCCGCAACACACATTCCCCTCTCCCCTGTTTTGCGATGATCTCTCATCCCCTCCTTCCCCTCTCATCCCCTCCTCCCCCTCTCATCCCTCCATCTACTCTCACATTCCGTCCCCCCCTCACTCATCCCTTCCTCTCCTTTCTCATTCCCTCCCCTCCTCTTTCATCCCTTATCATCCCCCTCTCTCCTCTCAGGACCATGTCCTCCTCCCTCTCATCCCTCCCTCTCCACTATCATCTCGTCCTCCCCTCTCTCATCCCTCCATCTCCTCTCTCATCCCTCCCGTCCTTCTCTCCTCCCGTCCCCCACTTACTCATCCCTCCTCCTTTCCCATCCCGGACTCTCCTCTCTCATCCCTCGCTCTCATCTCTCATCTCTCATCCCTCACTCTTATCTCTCATCCCTCACTCTCATCTCTCATCCCGTCCTCTCCCTCTCAATCCGTCCATCTTTCGTCCCTTCCTCCGCTCTCACGTCGTCTCCTCCCCTCTTTCATCCCGTCCAACCCCTCTCTTCTCCTCCCGTCCTCTCCTCACTTCCTCCCGTCCTCTCCTCTCTCCTCCCGTCCTCTCCCTCTCCCTCTCGTCCTCCCCTCTCTCATCCCTCCCTCTCCACTCTCATCCCGTCATACCCTCTCTCATCCTTGCCACGCCACGCTGTAAATTCCCAAACGCCGCTTCATCGCCGCCTCGCCACCCCGCTAATGCAATCGCCTCCACATCACTGCCACGACGATGCGCCTCCTCAACGGCTTGCAGCCTCCAGGTCGCGCCTCATCGCCTACGCCTCCACCGCCACCTTCGTTACCCTCCAAGGACGAAACCCGATCCCTTTTCCATTCCCATCTCTCCCAGGTCGCAACTCCCTTTTCCCCCAAGTCGCACTTCCCCTTTCCCCCAAGTCGCACTTCCCCTTTCCCCCAAGTCGCACCTCCCCTTCCGAGCAAAGTCGCACCGCCACTTTCCCCCAAGTCGCACTTCCCTTTCACCCGGGCTCGCACTTCAACTTCCCCACAGGGCGCTCCTCCCCTTTACCCCAGGGCGCACTATGCCTCTTCCCTCAGGTCGCTCCTCTCCTTTTCCACAGGTCGCACTTCCCCTTCCCCTCCACTTCCCCTACCCCCGCGGGTCTCTCATCCCCTTTCTCTCCCAGGTCGCCATTCAAACCCCCCCCCAGGTTGCTCCTCCCTGTCCCCCAGGTCGCTCCCCCCCCTTTCCCCCAGGTCACACTGAGAGAGGGAAAAGGGGGTTGACGGGTGTAAGGCAGAGAGGGAGAGGGGGAAGAAGAGGGTAGGGACGAGAGGGAAAAGGAGGAAGCAGGGCGTAAGGCATTGTGGGTGGAAACGTGCAAGCATGTGGTATTGCAGAATGGGGTATAGGGGGAAAAAAGGTTGTAAGGCAGAGAGGGGAAAGGCCCAGGCCGGGCGTTAGGCAGAAAACCCCCTTTGCAATGTGAAAAGTGTCAGGAGAGAGGGGGAAGGGAAAAGGCAGGGCGTAAGGCAGAGAGGGGATTGGGGATGAAGGGTGTGGAAGAAGGGAGTAAGGCAGAGAAATGCAAGGTGGGGGAAGAAGGGTGTACGGAAGAGAGGGGAAAGGGTGAAGAAGGGTGAACGGCAAGAGAGGGGAAAGTGAGAAGAAGGGTGTACTCCAAATAGGGAAAAGGGGCTGTAAGGGTGTCGTAGGCAGGTAGGTGTAAGGGGCGAAGATGAGAGTAAGACAGACAGGTGAAAGGTGGCAAGGGGGTGAAATTCCGGAAACTAGGGGAAAAGGCGACGAAGGCGGGAGCGGTCAGTGCGGATAAGAGATGCGTTCAGAGGGGCAAGGAGTGGTGTAGCGGCAAGGTATGGACGCGGTGGTCACGGAAAATAATGTGCATGCTCCCGGCACAGGAAAGATGTGTACCAACAACCGAGATGGCGTCGTCCCACGTATTCCCTTCGCACATATGTGTTTTGGTGCACGTCCTCGCCGCCGCTCAGTGGCGAGGCACGCCCCCTCCGTCGCGCAAATAGCTGCTTGTAGGCATTCCCACCCGCCGTTTGGGGAAGCAGGGGGGGGGGTAGGAGGGGAGCAGGGAGGGAAAGGAGGGGAAACAGGGGGGGAAAGGAGGGGAAGCAGGGGGGGGAAGGAGGGGAAGCAGGGGGGGGAAGGAGGGGGAGCAGGGGGGGAAAGGAGGGGAAGCGTGGGGGGCACGGTGGGGGAGCATGGGGGGAACCGAGGGGAAGCAGGGGGGTAAGAGGCGTGGAGCATGGGGGGAACGGGAGGTCGCATTTGAACGAACGGAGTATAAACATGCGGGGAAAGGAGGGAAGCATGGGGGTAAGGAGGGGAAGCATGGGGGAGAGGAGGGTAGAGTGAGATGGAAGAGGGAGACGCCTAAACGTTTGCGATGGAGGGCAGTGCATGAGTGCCACACATGGTGAGTGATCTATCTCGCGGACGAAGTGATAGGGGAGTGAGCATCGCCGCGACATCGCGTGAGTGCGCGAAGGCAACGGGAGGGAGCTCGTGCCCACGGCGGGGTAACATTGCCCAAGCATATCACATTCCGGCGACTTGAAGGAGGGAGCATGTGTGACGGAGTGACGCGTCGCGTGACCGACGGGAGGGGGAGTGAGCGTGGGGGATGAGAGGGGAGTGAGCGCGGGGGACGGGAGGGGAGTGAGCGTGGGGGACGGGAGGGGAGTGAGCGTGGGGGACGGGAGGGAAGTGAGCGAGGGCGACGTGCGGGGAGTGAGCGTGGGCGACCGAGGGGAGTGAGCGTGGGCGACGGAGGGGGGTGAACGACATCGACGGAAGGGGAGTGATCGTGGGCGACGGCTGTGTGTGAGCGCGGGCGACATAGGAGAGTGCGTCGCCCCCTACTGAGGGGAGTGCACGAAGTCGACGGGAGGGTGTAAGCGTGGGCGCCGTAGGGGGAGGGATGACCTGCTTCGCGCGGAGTGGGATGCGCAGTGCCGGGCGGGGATTGTACTCGATGTCGCTGTTCGCGTACGCGCGAATTGTGAGCACGGTAGTTCCTCCGCCTGTTTTGAGCAATTCGCGGTCTGGCAGCTGCCTCACGGATAAGAGCGCGCTAACTGCACACAGCGGGGTACGACAGGCGGAGGCGCCTAAGTGCTCGCGAGATGATAATCTAGCGGGCGCGATGAAGGCGATGGGTGGGGCGGTAGGAAGGCGACGTTTTGAGAGGCTACGGCCTCCCGTCCTTGCCGTCTAGAACAAGTGCTAGTCGTATGTGCTGGAATGCGTGTGCTGTGGTACAAGTATGCATGCGCGTTTTGGTTCATGAACTGCTGGGTGTGCTGCAAGTTCCCAACTCCCGAATTGGGCATTCGGTTGTGACGACAGGGGAGTGACAACACGCGCAAGTCCGCCAACACTGAACTTTGGTTCGCGTCGGATCCCAAGCACAAACAGGGTAACCACCAAAGGCAAGTGATAAACCTTTGGGTCCACCCCCCCCAAAGTGCACCCTTGCTTTAAGGTTTGAAAAGCTCAGTTGCAGGTATCGAACATAAGACCATTCGATTCCATGGCCGATTTCAGTCGACTGCGCGACGACAACTGCTTTGTTTCCGTCACAAAAATCATTTGGTTTTGGTCATGCGACGCAATCAGCAATGCCTTAGGGTTTCTGTTCTTCCTTTCCTCCCTCCCTTCTCGCCACTGAAGCTTGGTAGTAAACTAAAACGGCCGTTAGTCACGCTCCAACAACCTACCCGTGGTGAGAAGTACCCTCCTTCAACTAAACTAAGTTAGATGTTCTACGCAAGACTAAACTGAGCATATGGTGGATCGTAACTACCGTCGACCCGTAGTATAGCTCGTTAGATGTTGTTGTTAGGTAGAATCTAGACGCCTCTGCCATATTAACTTAACATCTAGATCTGCTTTTTTTTGGCTGCTAACAGTTAGGTCGTCCTTAGATAGTGCTTCCTTTCCACATATTCGATTTTCGTCCGTCTCTCTTGAAGCCATCTCATCATTTCCATATCTAGTTCTAACCATGTTCACATTTCCTTGTTAATCCGCTCAATACCGGTGGTTTTACTTCTTTCTTTCCTTTCTTTTTATAATCTTATGCGTTCTCCCTTCAGGTGGCCAGCTACGTATGCGCCATCTACTCCATTTTTATGCCACTGGTGAGAAGAACCTTATAGCTTAGATCTAAGTTGGATGTTACATACTATACTAAACCAGACATGGGTGCTCTGTTATCATCATCATCATCTTCGCATAGGTCTCATCTTATCACCACCATCTTCGATGCCTTATCTCCTTAGGCTTCTCTTCTTTTGTTACCGACTTTGTTTGAAAGAGAGAGAAAGGAAGAGATAAAGAATATCTGATTGGTTAATATTGGATTATTTTTCTCTTATTCTTTCGCCTTCTTTCCTTTTGCATGATATGTTCCGTTCCTCCGTTTCTGTTACTTCACTCTTTCTGCTCTCCATATGTTCCTATCATTCTCTTCAACGTTTTTACTATGGTACCATTTCGACCTAGCTTGCTAGGCGAATTAGGGCTTCAAGCTGTCCAATCTTGGCCTTTCCTTCATTCTTTCTGCTTTGGTTTCTTCTGCTTTGGTATCCGCTTTTGTTCTTCAATTTCCTTTCCTGCTTCAGGTTTCTTTTTTCTGGTTTTGTCATTTCTTAATGTCATATACCTTTGCCTTCTATCCAGGCCCTCAGATTCGTTTTTGGCCTGTCTGATTCGTCAGACTAGTACAGAGTTTTAGTCTGAAACTCTTAGAGTTGGTATAAAAAAAAAGGCTGAAATTTCAGAGTGTCCTAAAAAAAAAAGTCCGAATATTCGAAATCAATGTATTCAATGTTCATCAGAAATGTATCCAATGTTTCCTTCATCTGATATTGAAACATGCTAGACTAAGGGGATTTCGGGAGAACATGCTCTAACGGCGAATCTGCAATGTCAGACGCGAATCTTGTGTCAGTGCGAATCTTGTGGGTGATTAGACGGATCTTGTGGTGATTGGGCGAATCTTGGGTCAGGGCGAATCTTGTGGTGATTGGGCGAATCTTGTGGTGATTGGGCGAGTTTTTGTGTCAGGGAGGGCGAATCTTGTGGTTTGTAAGGGCGAATCAGCAATGTCAGACGCGAATTTTTTGTGATTGGGCGAAATTGCTGTGCTCTGACGGCGCAAATCTGTGGTGTCAGGACGATTTTGCTATGATTGGTCAAACTTTTGTGCTGTAAGGCGCGGATTTGCTGTGTCAAAGCGATTTTGCGTTGACAGTGCGAATCTGCTGTGACCCGTGAAGTCCGAATCACCAGTCAAGAACGCGTTTGTACTCTGAATGATCAGAGTACACTCCTGGAAAACTCTGAAATTTCAGAGTTGGCCTTAACATTTGTCTGAAAATTACAGAGTTGGGGCCCTAAAATCTCTGATTTTAACAGAGTTCACTTAAAAGAAAATCTGAATTCTCAGAGTTTTTCATGCAAATCAGAGAAAAATGTCTGACTTCTGAGGGCCTGCTTCTATCCTAGACCCCCTCTCTTTCTATCCATTCTTCTCATTTCCTCCTATTTTTGTTCGTTATGTTTGTTTCCCTCTTCGCTCCGCTTGCTTACATTGATTCATTTACGCCCACATTTCCCTCTCTCTCTCTCCCTGTTGTAATACGTCTCCCTTCATATTTAATGTCCTTCACCCCTCCCCTGATCCCTCTTTCCCCATTTGTTCTGTATTTCAGTTTGCTCTAATACTCAGAAAATCAAGTCATAATGTGGAATGCTGGAAGATACCGTACTAGTGACGGCTTGTAGAATTCGTTAATTTGTGTCCACTCATGTGCCTTGTTTTTATTTTATTAAATTGTCGGATTTATTGCGTGTGTGTATGTGTCTGGTATGTGTGTGTGTGTGTGTGTTGTCAGAATCCCAACCACTAGACCATTGGGATAAAATGGCTTGTTAAGTAGCGGGTCAGTGCGCCCATAACCCCCCAGGCCAACATGCCTGTAAACCCTTCCCTAGGATCAATCGGGGATCACCAGTGGACCTCTGACACCCCCCCGCACTGGGATGCCCGAAGTGCACACACTGGGATTCGAACCCGAGACCTTCGCTCTGATACCATGTCAGAATCCCAACCACTAGACCATTGGGATAAAAGGGCTTGTTAAGTAGCGGGTCAGTGCGCCCATAACCCCCCAGGCCAACATGCCTGTAACCCTTCCCTAGGATCAATCGGGGATCACCAGTGGACCTCTGACATGTGTGTGTGTGTGTGTGCGCGTGCGTGCGTGCGTGCGTGCGTGTGTGTGTGTGTGTGTGTGTATGTGTGCATCTATCCATTTTCATTTACCCATATCATCATTGCATTAACAATGTATGTCTGTAGGTTTTAAAAAGGTGGATCAGGTCTATCATTTCATTAGAAGGTTCATTGGCGCGCCTGTCGGGAGCCCACTTGAACTGGAGATGATAGAGTTGACCATCTTTTTAGAGTTGACAGATTGTATTGTTTCATGTGACTGCTGATTGTTCAAGGATTATGCTATTAGCTCCCCCCCATGCTAGGCAGGGGATGCGATAGCATAGTTTTTGTCAGTAGATCTGCACTGTGGATGCCCGATTGATCCTGGAGAGGGTTACAGGCGCGTTCGCCTGGGGGGTTATGGGCGCACTGACCCGCTACTGAAACAAGCCCTTTTATCCCAATGGTCTAGTGGTTGGGATTCTGACATGGTATCAGAGCGGTCTCGGGTTCGATTCCCGGTGTATGCACATGTAGGCCGTTGCCGCTGTGCTTAGTCCTGGGCCTCCCAGTGTGGGGGGGTGTCAGTAGATCTGCACTGTGGATGCCCGATTGATCCTGGAGAGGGTTACAGGCGCGTTCGCCTGGGGGGTTATGGGCGCACTGACCCGCTACTGAAACAAGCCCTTTTATCCCAATGGTCTAGTGGTTGGGATTCTGACAGTTTTTGGATCGTTAGCTGTCACGCATTTATGTCATGTATTGGTATGCATGCATTTCAACATGAAACATTATGCATACTGAAGCACGATTATCATTATTGCATAATGCATTTATATATTTTGTATCATTATATTCATTCAAATATGTACCATTATATTCATTTCAGCATATGTGTACAAGTCATAACATATATGCATTTGATGACAGTCATGTAATTACCACTATACCATCCAACATAAAAAAATATGACGTAGTGCGAACAGGAAAATCACTACCATCACATCACAATTGAATTAGACAATACTTACTACATGCAGCTAGCAACTAGTGCATCCAGCTTTTTTTATTTCACATTTTATTCTAAATAAATAAAATGTGAAAAAAAAATATGGCCAAATCGATCGTATTAGGTTGCTTCGCGCACGAGGAGGATCAACGGCTCAGTTTATTAGCTACGTGTTTTGAGTAGACTCAGAACACGACGAGAAAGACGAAGCTCGCGCACGATGATCGCTGAGCTTATTAGCGGCGACGAAAACGCCAGACGCCTTAGAAGCTTCCAATATCGTAAATTTCACGAAATTGCTCATCCGTGAGTGAGACTCCAAGTACAACGACAAATGAACAGAACACCCGAAGGGTAGAAGCGCGTACGGAGATGGCCGCTGTCAGATTTATATGACATAGCTACTGTAGGCTATAGTGGGGTGGCACATATGGGGTACAGTTTTCTAGGGTTTGTTTTTTGTACCCAACTTTCACTTAGTCATTTCATTTCCTCGTTTCTTCTCATGGTATCGAGCAGGTTCCCTAGTGGGAACGATTCCTAGGGCCCACCACCACGAATTTTTTTTTTTTCCTGCCCGGAGCGCATTTTGCTCCGGCCCGAGTCGC